AAACCTAATAGCAGTTACCCTTGCTGGACCTGTTTTGTCCCATGTCTCAAGAATGACTGTCCTCTTCGTCCTGATGTACATTTCGAGATCCCAGTTTTGGATTTCAGCGGTGACATTCTCCAACGTCCTCACAGAAAGCATAATTTAAAAAAAAAAAAAAAAAAAGGTTTTGCAGAATGATCTTTGTGACTTTTATGTATTAATTTCAAATGTTCATAAATATGCATAAATGCATAAAATATGCATAATTAAAACAGTAATATGCTTTTATGCATAATATGCATATTCTATAAATTTATGCATAAACTAATATATATTAATTTCTCTGTGGTGAAGCTATGATTAAATATATGTTATATATATAGCATGCAGATTAAGGTTTCTCGACATCATGAGATGTGTCAGATGACCAGCTAATATTGACAGTGATGTTTAATAATAGCAGTAATGATTTATTGGAGCTTTATGAGACGTGTGTAACAGGTGGCAGTCAGGCGAAGCTGCGCGTTTGCTGTTAGCAGATCAATATTGATCCGCACAGATATCCTGGAGCTGTGCTAACAGATCTGTGTGCAGGAGGAGGTGTGTGTGTGTGTCTCAGGTGGAAGCCAAGGATGCTTCTGCCTCGTAGATCTCGAGCAGTTCAGTGACTGATAACCAAAGACTCCACACCTGCCATTTGTCCCTGAAACCACAAAAGAGGACAAATTTAAGAGCTGGAAGTATCTGCAGTTTGAATACACTTGATTTTTATAAGCCTTAATTTATTCATTTCAATTGTGCATCAATATAAATGCATGAAATATGCATAATAATATGCAGGGTTAATATCTAAAAAATAAATACATACAATTATTAAAAGTTTTGTTAATTGAAATAAAGCTGAAATCAAATAAATATAAATATTAGATGAAAAACTTATTCTAGATGAAAATTAGGACTGTTTCCTGGGCTACTAATTGAATTAAGTTGAAGTTAAAGCACTAAATAAAAATTTAATATAAAAATAAATTAAACATAAATAGTAATATTAAAAAAATGGTATTAATAAAAATTACAAAATTACAAAAAAATTTAACAAATTAAAATGAAAACAAATATTAATAAAAGGTATAATATATCAATAATTCAAAAATAACATTGATGCATGAGAGCAGGGCAGCCAATTTATGCAATTTATAGTATTTACATTCAATGCAATTTAATAATATGCATGCACAATTGCTCAGGTGATATGAATGGTTATTTTTCACAATATCTACACAAAAAAACATTGAAAATTTAATTTGTTAATTATATAAACAAACTTGCTTGATTTAAAAACTTCTGACTTTATTCATAATCTCAAAATGATCCGTCTAGCCGATATATTGATTTGCAATATTTTACAATAAACGTGATTCCAATCCGAGTCATACATTTTTATAATTTTTTTAACCCATATTACCAAAATGCAGCTTGACTAGCAGAACTGTCTCTTGTCTTAAGTCACTAGTGTTGGTTAAGCTGTAGTTCTCCGCAGGTGTGATGCTAATCTCTGCTAACAGACGGTGGATACGGGAGGGTTTGAGTGCATCCTATGGTGTGGCACAAACCCAAATGGCTGGGCTTCCTGTTTCTCCCAGTCCTTCCCGCATTCTACTTCCTGCCTCCTAGGAAGGAACCAGGTGTACATGCAAAGGGAAAAAAGCTGGCAAATTATTTTTCAGTCAGGCATTAAGAAGGGCAGCCTGAAGGACCCGGAGCGGGGCTCAGGTGTGCTCGCAAACCACAAGATTTATGTCTACGTGTCCATGTGTGTGTGTGTGTGTGTGTGTGTGTGCAAAAGTGTGTCGCACCTGTGACTGCGCCGCATTCGATTAGTGAGTTAAGACGATGGTTTTGTTGGAGACTCACAATAAAAGCACATGAGAATGAGATTCATTGCAATACATGAAATATATTGGTCCTTCAGCATTTGATTTGTGACCCTGAACCAGTGTTAAGTCGCTGGGGTATATTTGTAGCAATAGCCAAAAATACATTGTATGGGTCAAAATTATCGATCTTTCTTTAATGCCAAAAATCATTAGGATATTAAGTAAAGATCATGTTCCATGAAGATATTTTGTAAATGTCTTACCGTAAATATATCAAAACTTAATTTTTGATTAGTAATATGCATTGCTAAGAACTTCATTTGAACAACTTTAAAGATGATTTTCTCAATATTTAGATTTTTTTGCACCCTCAGATTCCAGATTTTCAAATAGTTGTATCTCAACCAAATATTGTCCTATCCTAACAAACCATACATCAATGGAAAGCTTATTTATTCAGATTTATAAATCTCAATTTCAAAAACTTGACCCTTATGACAGGTTTTGTGGTCCAGGGTCACATTTGTCCTTCAAACAATGATTTGAAATATATGGAGGACCATACTTGCAGAAATATATAATAAATAAATATGTTCCTATTTGTTTGTTTATTTGTTTTTATATATTATATAACAAATGTATACTTTTTAAAAATATTTTATATATTATACTTCAGGTTTTGTCCTCCATAGAAACATGATTTGTCTTATTTATTATATTTTTGTGATTTCTTTTATTTAATGCAGTGTTATTTTAGTATCATTGATATACTATCATAGTTTTTGTTAATATTTTTTGAATTAGATTTAATTTTTTAGATGTTTTTACTTTAATTTTGGTTAAAGTTAAAGTTTTTATAATTGTTATTAGTTTTTGCTTTTAAAAAAAAAAAAAATGTCTATATAGTTTTTTTTTAATTAGTTTTGGTTTATTTATTTTAGTACTTCAAGTTAAAGCTAAAGGAAAATGAGAAATGTTGCCTTGGCAACTAGCTGAAATAAAATAAGTTTAATTTTTTAAAGTTTATTTTATTTTAAGTAATGATTTTTTTATGGTTTCACACAACTCAAAATCATAAACAAATAGAGAAATGATCGAAATTGTATAAACAAAGAAATAGCAGCATATTAACTATAACTTGCAAAATGTCATATTTCAATTCACTCAAGTTTTCTGCTCTGTGACGAACTCGTCTGTTTATCGCAACTGGAATGAAACGTACAAATGAAGCGCTATAACAATCCCATTAAAAGCCGCCTTACTTTTCATTGTTAAATGGAGAGGCCCATTTTAAAACTATACAACGAGAAACGCATTCACTGCATTAGTTTCCCATGAATAAACATTAAACAAAACACGCCTTTCACCCAGAGAAGCGCTGTCCGTCTATGAAAAGTCGTCTGGTAAGAAGCGTTTCATGACCTTTGACAACTCGATCTGTGTGGGTCTATTAGCCGCCTTTGTAAAAGCATTTCCAGCGGACTGATATACTCCAAATGAGGCCGATAGCTTCTCTCACGGCTCTTGTAGAACAATAGCACCTCTGATCTACGACTTTTGGGCCTGGTGGTCCATTCACAGGCAGAAAGTATGCGTTTAGCCCTTGACGGCTTCTGTGAAGCCTAGTTAGCGAGCGTGAAATGGCCCGATTCTCCATTCTTAAGCGGGCTCAATGATCACCCTTTCTTTCCCGAGGACAAAACCTGGTTCATTTGCACTTCAGCTGTCGGGACTCCACGGCTCTTAAACAGGGGCAGAAAACATCTGGTGTGCAGCAGAAAGGATGATGGGTTTAGTTAGGGAGCTCAGGCTTGGAAATGCATTTTGGGCTCAATTGGATTGGAGGTGTCGTTAAACATGAAGTGCATATCAATTGCATATCAATGCATTGAGACACAATGACTACATTTGTGTTTGCACTGGTGCTTCTGGGAATGTTTTGGATGCAGATGCAAGATGAATGCGGTTAAGAAATAATTGCATGGTGATTTTATGAGATCAGAGATGTTCTGCTGCCACAAATCTGCAGCACTTTATTGGGTTTTAATGGAAATCTCCTCATGAGAAACGTTCGTGATTACAATGAAAATAAGTGATCTGTCAGTCTCCAGCTCAATCTCTCTGGTTTTCAGACAGCGCAGAGAAGAACGTTCCTGCCATGCCAGGTTCCCCAGTGGATGGAAAGACTCATTCCAGACCAACCGTCTCCGTCATGCCCCCTCTACCCTCCGTCAACCCCAGCGGACCTCGACCGGCAGCCTTCTCCACCACAGCATGTGAGACTCGCACACAACACTGCATTCAAACATGCATGCTGCTAGCTGTACTATCTGGCACTAGTGTGTCCCATAGGAGGACATACTACCGTTTCTGCAGTATGCATAAGAAATGCATAAGATTGGAATTTTCTGTATGCATGGAATATCCAAATAACCTATTGCATTTGTCAGCATTTGCAGTATGCAGTGTACTATTAGTCAAAATTGCAGTATGTAGTATGCAATTCACAGTATGCAGTTGAACACAAACGCAGATGTCTTAATACTGGCATAGAGTCTTTTACCAGCAAAGTACATACAGTGTAGTGCATTTACATTTCATTATTTAGCATGCATTTGTATGCAAAACATCTTACAATGAGGAAAAAAGCCATTTACCCTACAGGAGCAACTAACCGCAGTGCCGAAATACAAAGGAAAACCAAAGCAAAAGTTTAAAGTGAAAAGAGTGGTTTTGCTGAAAGAAAGAGTCGTTATTTATGATTAGTAAAATGGTAAAACTGTGGCTTCATATATTATAGCCATAAACACAACACTTCAGGAAAATGTATGTGGTGAAAAACGGGTATTAACATTAACTAAAATGAAAACAATTTAAAACATTTTTGTTAAATTGAAATAAAGCTGAAATAAAATAAAATATGAGATGGAAAAACTAAACATTAAACTTAAAGAAAAAAAAAACGAATTAAAATAAGTTTAACTGGAAAGAAATAAAAACAAAAATAAAACTGAAATTTTTCAATAAATGTGACTCTGGAGCACAAAACCAGTCATAAGGGTCAATTTTTTGAAATTGAGATGTATGCATCACCTGAAAGCTGAATAAATAAGCTTTCCATTGATGTATGGGTTTGGTAGGATAGGACAATATTTGGCCGAGATACAAATATTTGAAAATCTGGAATCTGAGGGTGCAAAAAAATCTAAATATTGAGAAAATCATCTTTAAAGTTGTCCAAATTAAGTTCTTAGCAATGCATATTACTAATCAAAAATTAAGTTTTGATATATTTACGGTAGGAAATTTACAAAATATCTTCATGGAACATGATCTTTACTTAATATCCTAATGATTTTTGGCATAAAAGAAAAATCAATAATTTTGACCCATACAATGTATTTTTGGCTATTGCTACAAATATACCCCAGCGACTTAAGACTGCTTTTGTGCTCCAGGGTCACAAATAGTAATATAAAAAAAAAGACAAAAGCACATAAGAAAACTAAAATTAAAATAAAAACTGGAAACATAAAATATAATAAAATATAAAAGATAATTCGAAATATTAATAAAAACTATTATTGTACATAAATAATACTAAAATATTTTGCAGATCATTGCTAACCACATTCTCTGTTTCTGCAGTGACTAATGGGATCAATCATTCCCCGCCGATGCTCAACGCCATTCCCTCGCCGCCTCAGCGCTACAGCAACGGCCCTTCATCATCATCTTCCTCCTCTCTGGCCAATCAGCAGCTTCCAGCCACCTGCGGCGCGCGACAGCTGAGCAAACTCAAGCGCTTCCTCACAACACTGCAGCAGTTCGGCAACGACATCTCGCCCGAGATCGGAGAGAGCGTCCGAAACCTGGTGCTGGCGCTGGTGGTGCGTCTCTCACACACGCCTTTCACGAGCACCGTTTGATCAGATGTGAGCTAGAGTTAACAAGCCATGTGTTTCTCCCACAGAACTCCACCGTCACCATTGAAGAGTTTCACTCCAGACTGCAAGAAGCTACAAACTTCCCCCTGAGGCCCTTCGTCATTCCCTTCCTGAAGGTAAACGGCCAATAAAGCAATAGTTGAGCTTAAAAAGGGCAATTCTGTAAGTCACTCGCCCTTGTTGTTAACCAGGGTTATTATGGTACAGGTGACATTAAAACCAAAACTATTAAAACATTTTTGTTAAATTGAAACAAAATAAAATAAAATAAAATGCAAATAAAAAAATAGAAAATTGGGATAAAAGAATAGGAAAAAAAGGAAATATTAAAATTTTTAATAAAATATAAATATGAGATGGAAACACTAAATGTTAAATTAAAACGAAAACTATTAAAACAAATGTTGTTAAATTGAAACAAACTAAAATAAAATAAAATGCAAATTAAAAAAAATTATAGAAAATTGGGATAAAATAGTAAATAGGGGAAAAAAGGGAAATATTAAAAATTTAAATAAAATATAAATATGAGATGAACAAAAAAAAACAAAAAAAATGTAAAACTATTGAAAATATTTATAAAAATAAAAAATAAAAAAAAGTCTATATGAAAGCAGGAATGTTGATTTGGGGATTTTAGTGAATCCCTGAAAAGATATTCAGGATGAAACTGGTGTGAAGCTGCTTGAATTAGATGATTTTAACTTAAACTATTAACACATTTGTGTTGAATTGAAATAAAGCTGAACTAAAATGAAATATAAATATGAGATGGGTGTTTCAATGTTAAACTTGAACTAAAAATCAGTAATTGAGTGAAAAACTAGTTGTTGCACTAAATTACTACCTAGAAATAAATAAAAGCTAGAACTGAGCTAAAATGAAATGCAGCCTATATAGTAATATTTTAAAAGAAAAAGTTCTTACAATATTATAAATACTGAAAATTTTATAAAAATATATTGAAAATATAAAAAAAAATAAAAAAGAGCAAAATTATTAATTAAAATTACTCTCCTGTCCACACTTGTTTGACTCAAGGTCAGTCAATCTCAAAAAAGGACATAAAAACCATAAACTGCAATAAAATCGTCCATATGAGAGCAGGAATGTTGATTTGGCGATATTAGTGAATCCCTGAAGCTGCTTGAATTCAATGATTTTATGATAGCATGCATGATAGGGATGCTGAACGGAGAAAGTGGAAGGTGTCTCGTGTTTCCTTTGGTAATTTATGGAGCAGACTGAGACTTCCGAGAATTCCAGGCGGTCGGAAGTGTGAAACACGACTATAAACCGTTGCAGGTTTTTTACAGGGCTGCGCTGCATATGGAGCTCGTGAGAACGTGAATGACAGACGCATATGTGAGAGGAGGACCGAGTTAATCATGTCTGTCGCACTAGTAATAAAAACTACAGAGATTCTTGTCCTGGTTTAGATGTGTTTGGAAAACATTTGAAAGCCTTCCAGACCATTTTCTTCGGATATCATGTTTAATATATTCTGTGAAAACTGAATTGTTTTGATTATCACCAGTAATGAACTGTTTAGTGATCAAACGAATCATTCTTTTGATGTGGTTCTTTTCAATGATTCAGTCAAACCAATTTGTGAATCACTTGACTGTAAGAAAACATATTCAAACCATAAACGCTACACTCATTCATTTTTTTGAGCTCTTGCAAAATTTATGTGGAGAAAAATAGGGTTATTATTGTTAACTGCAACTAAATCTATTAAAAAAGTTTTTGACAAATTTAAACAAAGCTAAAATAATAAAAAATAATAAATATAAGATGGAAAACTAAACTTTAAACAAACTAAAAATCAGAAATTGATTGAAAAATTAACTGAAATACATTTAAGTTAAAGTGCTAAAATTACTTGAAATAAATAAAAATTAAAACTTTGACTAAAACTTTAATAAAAATAAAATTAAATCTAAATAGTAATATTAAAGAAATAATAATAATAATAATAAAGTAATTATTAAATAATAAAATTAAAATTAAAACTGAAAATATAAAACAAAAGCACTAACATAACTTAATATAAATAAAAATTAAAACTTTGAATAAAACGAAAACTTTAATAAAAATATAAAATTAAACCTAAATAGTAATATTAAAAAAATAATAATAATGAAGAAGGAAAAATGCACATATCAAAATGACTAAACATTAAAATTAAATTAAAAATGAAAAGTGAAAATATAAAACAAAAGGTAATTTAAATTATAGAAAAATACAGTATATAAATAATACTAAAATAACACTTAAAGTGGCTCATTTATTGTGATAACATCATAATCAGTAAATATGACAACTAAAATCAAATTTATTATATATGATATGATTTAATTCAAAGCACAGTGATATGAGGAGCATCTGTCCCTTTTTATTTAATCGAAATGCATAAAATTCTGCCTGTATTTTCATTTTTGAGTGACAACTTCAATGAATCACTGAATAATTTTCGCAAAAGTAAAATTAGCATGTTTTACTGAGAGCGAGATGTGTTAATTCATGGTTTTTAAAAGTTACGTGAGCGAGTATTTTCCCTTGTGTTTGCCAGATGGTTTTGACAGAAAACAGTCTGATATTCTTCATATTTTCACATTAGTAATCAGACTCACATGCTCATCATGTAAGAAATGAAACGCTGGCTCTGGTTTGTTTCATCTTGCCGATTGTTACTCTTCTCCGTTTCCATCCTCCTGAGGCTGAACTTAAGTGTTTTCATATGAAAGATTTATTGACTATTTTGATGAGATGTTGGTGTAAATCGCGGTCTGGAGCTGTAATGGCGAGCAGAACGTGCAGTGACGCTGAACAGACGCCTCGGGCGCGATCTGCTTTGAGTTTGCACGCTCGGCGCGGCTCCTCCAAGTCTGTCGAGGAACGAATCCTCTTGACCTTTATCTCCACTCTTATCAGGAAAAATGCCAAAAATGTGGTGGTCAGACTTTAAAGGTGACATATCATGAAAATCTGACTTTTCCAGGTTTTAAGTGCTATAATCAGGTCCCCGGTGCATCTACCAACCAAGGAAACGTGAAAAAGATTAACCCAGTAACTTTGTTTTGATAAGCTTTTTTCTGCAAGCGTCTGAGAAAACGAGCGCGTCTGATTTCGCTCCCTTGGTGACGTGGCAAAGGAATGATCTGTGGAGTATTTTGAGCTGAAACTTCACAGACACATTCTGGGGACACCAGAGACTTATATTACATATTGTAAAAAGGGGTATAAAATGTCTCCTTTAAGAAAATCCTTCCGAAGTAGGCTTGATTACTGACAGTGTGGCATGCAGCGGATGTTTGTTATGCAGTCAGATGTTCTGTAAGCTGAAGGCAGTGTTTCTCCTGCAGGCGAACCTGCCGTTACTGCAGAGGGAGCTGTTGCACTGCGCTCGAGCCGCCAAACAGACTCCAGCGCAGTATCTGTCCTAAAAAAATAAAAACAGAAAAAGTACGAAAAGAAACGTTACCCTGGTCCACAAAACCAGTCATATGGGTCAATTTTTCGAAATTGAGATATATACACCACCTCAAAGCTGAACAAATAAGCTTTCCATTGTTGTATGGTTTGTTAGGATCGGACAATATTTGGCAAAATATCTTCATGGAACAATGTCTTTACTTAATATCCTAATGATTTTTGGCATTAAAGAAAGATCGATAATTTTGACCCATACAATGTATTGTTGGCTATTGCTACAAATATACCCCAGCGACTTAAGACTGCTTTTGTGCTCCAGGGTCACATATAAAGATGCCTGAGAAATAAACCCTGAGCTTTCCTCTAAAATAAATACCATGGCAGTACTATAGTAAACTTATGCTTTCATATACCATGATTTCAGCATAGTTTTGCAAGGCATTTCAAAAGAATACCATGATATTACTGTGGCAACATTTTTTGACTAATTATAAAAAATGAAGACAGAAATACATTACAGTTGTAAATTACAGTAAACAGGGTTATTATTGTTAAAACTATTGCAAATTTTGTTAATTTAAATAAAGCTGTAATAAAATAAAATATAAATATTAGATGGAAAACTTGAACTAAATGAAAAGTAAAAATGTTGTCTTTGCAACTAACTGAATTAAGTTGAAAAACTAAAATTAATAACTTGAAATGAATAAAATCTGAAACTGAACTAAAACTAAAACTGAAATAAAAATAATACATTAAACCTAATAATAATAATATTAAATATAATTATTTAAATTGAAATATTTATTTAAAATAAATAATAAAAATGACAAAAGCACATTACAAAATTACTAAAAATGTAACTACAATTAAACTAAAAGCTTAAATTAAAAGCTAATTTAAAATAGTAATAAAAGCTATAATTGTATATAAATACTAAAATGACAATACTGTAAAATAAAAAAAATTAATGTGATATTTTAATAAAGTTTATTTTACACTTTTATTTTTATGTCTTATATTATTTATTTCCAAACGTTCAAAATCTCGAGCTTTTAGTCCAAAAACATGGCATTTCCAAGATACCATGACCAAAATAACATTGTATGCCATGGTACATATCTAAGAAAGCATGGAATTACCACGGTATTAAAATAAATAAACAAACAAACATGGTATTATCCATGGTAAAATGTCCAAAAAGCATGTTATGGCCATGGTACTTTTTGTAAGTATTACTAGGGATTGCACTTTGATATTTATAAAACGAATAGTTCCGGTCCTTGATTCTGATTGGTTGAGCCTCGTTCGAAGCTGTTGTAAATTACCGTATAACTACGTATATGGAATAACCGGTTTATAAAAGCAATAAGCCCCTTGAAGCCGTAGTTTACAGTGAATTTATAACAGCTAAGGGGGTTTTAACAACGCCCCTTAGCTGTTATAAAATCACTGTAAACCACGGTTTCTCGGGGCTTATTGCTTTAATATAACATGGCACTAAATGGTTACCATTTTTACATACCATGGTATTTACTGTAAGGTGTTTCAAAACCCCCTGGTATTGTCATTGTACAGGTCCAGAAGTGTTATTAGGGATTTGTTTCCTATTTATTTTTTATGATTTACTCCAGAAGTAAAGAGAATGGTTTCCACGAGCGTCCTCCCGCCTCCCTGGAGCCTCCTGCCAAGCGAATCTGCACCATTAGCCCCGCCCCCAGACACAGCCCCGCCCACCCGCTGCAGCTCCCCGCCCAGATGCACCCGACTCCGCCCCCTCTGCAGCACTACGCGCTGGATGACATCAGCACACCTCACCTGTACAGAGAACCGCAGCGGGTCCCGGAGCTGAGGGAGCTGAAGGAGCGGCCGCGGCTGACAGGTAACAACACACAATATGAGCAGAAAGGTTTGACTGCTTCTGAAGTTTTGAAGATCTGACGTGTTTTGTCGATGTTTTCAGGCAGTAATGGAGGCTTCCGTGAGGAACCTGTAGACCACAGACTGACAGACAGAGAGTGGGCTGAAGAATGGAGACATCTGGATCACGTAAGACTGCATTTGTTGATAATTCTTACAAAAAAGCACCATGACAGTGAATCTCACAAAACCTGGCTTGTGTTTCACCTGAAAATCAAGAATAAAATAAAAAAAAATGTATTTTAGGTGTTATTTTAATTTATTTACTATTATGTTATTTTTTTATGGTATTATTTTTAAGTTTTATTTTTTATATTTTCAGTTTTTATTTTAATTTAGTAATTTTGTTTTTGTCATTTTATTTTGTCTATTTATCTGTAATTTATTTGTATTTCAGTTATAGTAATTTTACTAACTTTTTTCAGTGAGTTGCCAAGGCAACGTTTAAGTTTTTCCATCTAATATTTATATTATTTTAATTATTTTCAAATAAGTTTAGTTCAAATTAAGCACACAATGAAACACTTATTACTGTAATGCAAAAAAAAAAACAGACAAAAAAAACTCATTACTTTAATACAAAACATGTATATTTTTTAAACTAAAGTATCATGATAGTATTTGTTACAATTTGTTTTAAATTTATGCTGATTTAAATAATTTTATTTCAGTTCTGAGAATTTAATCAGAATCATCACTGATGATGAGAATCAGAAACAAACTCAAAAGCAAAAAATCCAACATGCAATATACTGAGAGTTTGGGAGGAAAAATGTGTTTAATTGTCCTGAAAATAATGCAAAAAAAAAATCATAGTCATAAAATAGGGCTTCATTTCTGAGATTCATCTGGTAACACCGTGGTAAATTAATATAGTAATCATTCAGGACCATGGTGTATGAAAAAAATAAATAAAAATCAACAACAAAAAACATATGAGTGTTAGTCAAGTCTGCTTAACTTACTTAATTTTACTTTTTCAAATGACAGATCAAATATTTTTTAATTCATACATAACATTATATTAAATAGTATATAATATTATAGTAACTCAAGTTCAAGTTCACGTTTATTTATAAAGCACGTTTAAAAACGACAAGTGTTGTACCAAAGTGCTGTACAATTTATAAACAATTAAATAATATCAAAAGCAACAACAAATAAAAAACTCATAAGATACAAATAAAAGCATGCAAAATAAACCATAAACAACTTTATAACCCAATATTCTCAGGCAACACCATAGGCTAAAGAGAATAAATGAGTCAAAGTATGTAATGTATGTATATGCAAGTTTCAATCTATTGTGAATTTGTGCTCTAAGTTTTTCTGTTGTCTCTGGTTGTAGGTGCTGAACTGCATTGTGGACATGGTGGAGAAGACGCGGCGTTCGGTGAGCGTTCTGCGGCGCTGTCAGGAGTCCGACCGCGAGGAGCTCAATTACTGGCGGCGACGCTCAAACCCACACGACGAGGGACGCAAGAACGGATCGGCCGCAGGGAACGCCCCGTTCAGCAAGACACACAGCCCTCTGTCAGCAGAGGGAGTCAACGCAGGTGAGTCGCTCAGGAGTTCAGAATCATGTTCCAACTTTGACCTTTTTTGCTGCAGACCTTTCATTTGAATCCTGTTACCTTCTTTACTCACAAACTTATGTTGTAGAGTTTGAGGCAATTTTTCAGAGTGTAAAACAAGTTCCCTCTAGTGGTGGTGATGGTCAACTCATTCGCTCCCAAGTCAATTCACCTTGATTTCTATAGTGCTTTATACATTTCAAAGCAGCTTCAAAGTGATAAACAACAGAATCAATTAAGACAAATTCAGCTGTAGAGCAGCTCTAAAAAGACAATACTGTCATTATTCAGTTCAGTGTTGATTCAGTTCATTCATTATGAAACAAGTTCAATTCAGCGATAATTAAAGACAGCGGTGTCGTTATTCAGTGCTGATTCAGTTCAACAACAGAAAATGAATCAAAATGCATTAATTATGAACAAATCTGATTTGGCTGTAAAGCAGCGCTACAGAAGACGATAAATTAATCATTCAGCTCAATCAGTTCAAGTTTTGTTCTCCGATGGATAGTTTCAGTGCAGTCAAATTGATAACATTACTGAATATTAAAGAGATTGTTCAACCATTGACTTCCATAGTATGGAAAAAAAAATCTATGGCTACCGTCAACTGTTTGGTCACCAGCATTCTTCAAAACGTCTTCTTTTGTGCTCAGAAGAAGAAAGAAACTCGTACAGGTTTAGAGCAGACAGAATTTTCATTTTTGGGTGAACCGTCTCTTTAAGTGTCTTTTAAAACCCAACTAACAGACGAAATCGTGTGCGTGTGTGTGTGTGTGTGAGAGAGATAGCCTGCTGATGGAGCAGGTGTTGTGTATTTGGGTCCAGGCTGAGAGAATATCGTCTCAAGCGCCGAGGTCTGGCCGCGTTCCTCTCCGCCATCTGTGACCAAACGCTGCCCAAACTCTCAAAGCGGCTCACGTGCCTCCATATCCGTCCCTCCTGCAAAGCATTTCAGTGCTAATTCACTCCTAATATATTTGTTTTTGTCCCCCGCAGACTCTCAGAGGAATCTTCCCCTGCGCGCCGGCTCTGGCTACGTGCCTGATGAGATATGGAGGAAAGCCGGTAAGGGCGGCAACCCAGATGCACCCTGGGAAACCTGTTTTCTCCCCTACCACCTGTTCATCAGTCCTGTTTCTCATTAATCACACTTTCAGACTAAAAGCTCTCTGCTGGATATTGATTCTTGTTCTATCGCAAGAAAATAGCGTGCATGAAACAGGATGTTGATGCATGTGTGGTTTGATTCTGCAGAGGAAGCGGTGAACGAGGTGAAGCGTCAGGCGATGGACGAGGTGCAGAAGGCCGTCGCCGAGGCCGAGCAGAAAGCCTTCGAGATGATCACCGCCGAGAGAGCCAAGATGGAGAAAACCCTCGCCGAGGCCAAGAGGAAAGCCACCGAAGACGCCATACAGGTCATCAACGAGCAGGAAGACTCCAGCGAGGTGAGCGTCACGCTAAACACACATTCATTCAGTCACCAACCACAGACGCTGCCTGCACCGATACAGCAATGTGTCATGAATATTTAAATGAGGCCTTCCTTTTTATGCAAATGAGGCTCATTATAATGCAAACATTGGCCTGATTGAATCAACATTTGGTTCTTTTAAAATCTAAATCGGGTGCTTGAACAGCACAGAAAGTGCATGCAAATAACAAATAGCACTATTAGAAGACACAATAATCAATTAATATACAAACATTAAAATATAACACACTACCAAGGTTTGGGTTTTTATGTTAAGACTTTTTTGCTCACCAAGGCTGCATTTATTTGATCAAAAGTACAGTAATAACAGTAAAAATTTGAAATATTATTAGCATTTAAAATAGCTGTTTTCTATGTGAATATCTGTTAAAATGTAATTTATTCCTGTGATCAAAGCTGTATTTTCAGCATCATTACTCCAGTCTTCAGTGTCACATGATCTTCAGAATTCATTCTAATATGCTGATTTGCTGCTCAAGAAACATTTATGATTATTATCAATGTTGAAAACAGTTGTGCTGCACAATATTTTTGTGGAAACTGTGATACATTTTATTTTTCAGGATTCATAGATGAATAGAAAGTTCAAAAGAACAGCATTTATTTGAGATAGAAATCATTGTCACATTATAAATGTCTTTACTGTTGTAATGTGTTGCTCTGTTTCGGTGTGTTTCAGGTTCTGTCATGTTTGCCCATTGTATAACCTAGTTTTCTCTGTGTTGTCCAGATTTGTCATTATGTTAATTATCTAATTAGTCCCTGTGCTTAAAAACCCTGAGTTCTGCCTTTGGTCTCCGTCTGTTCTCATCTCTGTATCATTTATGCATGTGTGTTATCGCCTGTGAGTTTGTTTATTAAGTCACCATTTATATTCTTCGTCTTCGTGAGTGTTTATACGCGTTACGTCGCAGCTGTCACTTTTGATCAATTTCATGCATCATAAAAAAAATCTTGCTGACCCCAAACTTTTGAACAGTAGCGTGCATACCATGGTATTTAATGATTTACCTACAAGTACCATGGTACTACTAAACATAAGTTCCTACCTACATAAGTACGTTTTTACTTTTAAGGTCTGTCACCTTAAATCAATTTAATGCATCCTTGCTGAATGAATGAATGAATGAATATGTGACCCTGGAGCACAAAAGCAGTCTTAAGTCGCTGGGGTATATTTGTAGCAATAGCCAAAAATACATTGTATGGGTCAAAATTATCGATCTTTCTTTAATGCCAAAAATCATTAGGATATTAAGTAAAGATCATGTTCCATGAAGATATTTTGTAAATTTCCTACCGTAAATATATAAAAACTTAATTTTTGATTAGTAATATACATTGCTAAGAACTTCATTTGGACAACTCTAAAGGC